CCTCAGCGCCGGGCCTCAGCGCCGGGCCTCAGCGCCGCCCCTCAGCGCCGCCCCTCAGCGCCGAAACCCCTTCTGCGGCGGGAACCGCAAAGGACCGCGCAAACACGCTTCTACCAGAGCAGCGGGAGTTGTGATTGTCTCAAGTAATTCAGATGGAATTAAAGGAATCACAGAATAGGCGAGGTTGGAAAGCAGCACAGTGAGGCATCTGTGTTCATGCAGAGTCCCAGAGCACATTGCACAGGATTGCATCCAGACACTCAGGGAGTATCTCCAACGAGGGAGATTCCACAGCCTCTCTGGGTTGTTCCAGTGCTCGGCCACCTGCACAGTAAATAAATAAATAAATAAACACAGTAAAGTTGTCACTCATGTTCGGATGGAACTTCTGAGCATCAATCTCTGCCCGTTGTCTCTTGTCCTGTTGTGCAGCACCACAGAGAAGAGCCTGGATGCCTCCATCCCTCCGATGCTCTCCCCTCAGATACTATAGACATGGATAAGGTCCCTCTCACTTGTCTCTTCTCAAGTTCTTCTGCAGCTGTATGGAAACTCTTTCTCATCACATAGCTCTCAGCCCCTCATTTCTCTCCATTACATTACAGCTGGATCTCCCCTGCATTGTCCCTACTGTTCCTTCCAAAAAGATACTGAAACTGCTGTTTCCAAAATGAAGCAGCATCGTTCACACAGCCTCGTACTCAGTGGTGGAAAAAAAACTCTTGTTCCCAGGAGTTTCTTCCCTAGGTCCTGGAAAGTCTCAACTCAGCTAGCAGGTTCTGGAGTGCTTATGTCCCCAGCTGAAAAAGGCGGGCAATATAGAAGGCACAGGAGCATTCCAAGGGATGGGATACAAACAGGTCTCTGCACAACAGGAGGGACAAGGTAGAGGCACAAAACTGAGGAGTTAGATGCTGAACATTGGGGACACGAAACACTCAGATCCTTGTCATGGAGGAGTTCCTGAATATGCCATTTTACCACTGTATCAGGAACTGCTGGATTCCTCTGACCATATACAGAAGACTAAATCAAAAAGGCTTTTCTCTCCAATTTCTTTTTTCCCCACAGGACACTGATTTGAATTAAAATATATTCAACCTCCTAGACATAAAACCCAAAGCATGCCCCTTTGCCTAGTCAAGGAAGTTAGAGACTTTAGAAATTCTGTTAACTTGAGCTAAACATCACCAGACCTACATCACAATATTCGCAATATGGTTACTAGAATTTACTGCATCTGCTGACAATAAATCCTGGTATAGCCATATCTATAATTATTTTTGTGTTATGTTTAAAGTAGTATATGCTTAGAGTCCAAATTAAAGTGTATAAGAAGACATGTTCAAGTAAACAAAAGATGTATTTTTTAGCTCTCTTCTGGGAGTAAATTTTTATCTCTTAAGGTCCAAATTCAAACACTTTCTGGAAATCCTGAAAGATTTTGGTAAGCAAGATGTTTCTCTATCCCTATTTTTTTTTCCCAAAAATACAGGAAATAAGCTATCCTTTGAGCTTGACTACCAGTAGAGAAGAAAGAAAACAAGCTGACACCTTCGAATTAGGACAGAGGGCTTGCACTGTGCAACTCTGAACAATAGAGACTTTGAAAATCCCAGACAGGGACATGAAATACATTTCAGTATTCCCGTTCATGAGAGGTTCAGCTATTCTTGGTTTTGCCTCTTCTCACTATGCTTCCTACCTTACTGCTAGCCACCCACCTTTCCCTGCTGCATCTGCCTCCTGCAATGTCTAACTAGATCAGCACAGAAACAATAACAAGGAAAGACAAAAGTACTAGGACATAAGAAAAGCTGAACTCCCTGTAAATCAGCCTCCCTTCTCCCAAATTACATTAGCTAATGGTGGCAGCATCTTCAAGTCCTTTCACCCTCAAAAGCTGATCTCTCATTTAAGTAATTCCAAGAAAAATGATGTGGGGGAGGAGGGATGGCTGAGAAATATAAAGGCAAACTACACAAGGAGAATTGTAATAGCTTCCTGTAAGTTACTGCAGCCTGCATTAGAACTAATTTTTTGGCATCAGTCCCATATTAGAGCCTCAGCATAAGAGATTCCCAAGCAGACAGAATAAGGTACATGGTGGTGTCTGCACACACCATGCAGAGATGTCTGAAGCAGGACACAGTTTTATTATTAAACATTATTTTTTAATATTACACATTAATTTTAAGGAAGAATGTGGAACTACAAAAGGGCTGTGTTACTCAATAGCCAAATGTCTCTATAGCCTGACAGCACCAAGTCACTAATGGATGGGACAAAAGTGCTGACTTTATAGGGACAGTCACAAACCAAACTTCCTCAGTGGACCCCAGAGATGTGAATCTTGAATGTACAACTATAAAAACAATTTAAAACTTTAACTTTCACTAATTAGCATTTACAACATTTTTTCTTGTATTGACACATTTAATCCTAGCTTAGGTTTCAGCTGGTCAAAACCAAAATGAACCACAGAGCTTAAAGTTTTAATATTAGATTTGAAAAGAATATATATCACAAGTGTGTAAGGGCCACATATGATGCTACAGTAAATGCTATGCCACAATTAAAAACAATGCTAGCAATGCTGTGATAAAATACACCCTTTAAAATGAGATTGCTATCTTAAATACCTCTTTAAGAGATGAGAAATTATACCATGTATTCTTCACTTTCTGGTGTAGTTATTTAAAAATCAGTTAGGGGATGAGACTAAGAAATATGTTGTATTGGCAGAAAAGAATAGAGTTGATATCCATGTCTTTTTGACTGCCTGGATCCAGGTTTCAGGCAAATTCCAGTATATTCACACAAATTTATCCTGAATACACCATACCAGTTCATAATACTCTCATCTACCACATTTTATTCTCATCTGTCTCACCCTGACTGCCTTAAACCAATTTAATTAGAGATGCCTTAAAATATAAAGCACTTCCATTTTAACTTTAGCAGAGAAACTCACCAGTTTGCTAAGATTCCAGGTGGTTCAGACTTAACTCCTGCCTGCTGAGCTATTGTGTTTGGACAGTATTAGCACTTAATGCTCTTATTAACACAATATATTCACGCATTCACAACTGGACGTGTCACACCCCATCCCAACTCCCACAACCACCCTTATCCTGTGCTATCTCAACCAGATCAGCTGCCCTGCATTTTTCTGAGCTGCCATCCCTAATTCCCAGGATCGAGGATACTCAGCCCATTTCCACTGCAAATTACCTGTGCCTTCTTATTTGCTCAGAGATGTCACAAAGTATTATCATCTGCCCTGATCCATTTCAAGATCCCCAGAACCATCTCCAGCTGACACTTGCACTGTAAATGGATCTTTTCTGCAGTAAAAAATGTATTTAACGGCACACAAATTAAGATGCCAGTGGTGTCAGAGTTCTGGAACAAATCCTGTAGCTCCACTCCTCTCTATCCTTCCTAATTCCTCTGCAGCGCCATATATCTCTCACTACCAGCTCTGAGACAACGGACCATAAAGAGAAGTACAGTTTGTTAAACCCTGACGCAAGCTTTGGCTCAGTTGGTCATATCATTAAAAGGATTTTGTCTCTGATTAATGTCAACCTGTCAGTAGAGGTCTCTGGGCAGAATGAAGGAACTTGCCACCCTGTATGTTTCCAATTAATACAACTTCCCAGAAGGTGCCTGGAGATCCATCAATAACCTTAATTAAATACAACCAAATAGATGACAACTAATGATTAAGGGAGTGATTCTCTTGGGACTGGGGCTGAAGGGTGTGTATGGCAGGGCAGTAAGTGAGGCAGATGGCTGCTTGTCTAACACAGCAATGCCTGTTAAAACTCTGATGTCCCTGATGGCTGAGTTCCAAGTCAATTTACCCTGTTCCCAGTCATTTACAAGTTCTTCTTCCACACAGCTTAAAACTACCCTCAGTCAAAATGCAAGAGGGGCATTTCTGTTGATTCTCCAGCTGCTGCTGTTGCACTTGGCACACCATTTCCAGGGAAAGCAGCTCATTCTCTTTTCCCTCTAAACATATACATCCACTGTTGTTTGGATCTCATTCTACTTACCATTACAGAGGACCCAGAGGTCTTTCAGTTTGACAATTACTACAGTGACTGAAGTAAGAAAAGGCAACTCTTTCTGAACTCCTTTTGAGTTCTAGAAATCATGTTAAGGTATCAAATCAATATTCTTCAGTGAAGTTACATGCTTTCTACAAATTGCAGTCCTTGCTAAAGGACAGAAAACAGACTACTAGTTCAGTAAATAAAATAACCAGCTTCTAACTGAAAAAATAGGCAACACATGGTATCACAGTTTTGGCAGAAGAATGAGAACTGTGACTTGTTCAATCAATGCAATGCCTTGGACTGCTAGATTTTTAACCTTCAGTCAGTTACTTGTTTCTTGTTTCTCACCTCTCCGAGGGCATAAATTTATTCTAGCTTGTCAAGTCAATTCTGAGACACAGCATGAATAGAATCTACTGGTGTTTCATGTGAGCAGTAATGAGGAGATACTTATTTTTAGAACAGTAATCCTAGTGAACAAAGCTATCCTGACAGCTTTGAAAGCCTCCCTGTAGTCACACAGTAAACAGACCTAATGCATGACAAGCAGTGAAGCCACTCACCCTAGTCTGCAGGATCCTCCCAAAGCATTTACATGGGTAAACATCTTCAATATTTGGTATCTTTGATAAATTCCTTATTAGTCTCAGTTTCTATGAATATGAGTACCTGCACTGTAAGGACATGATTAAGGTAAGTGTTGATTCTATCGTGTTTAGTCTGACATAGCCTTCCAGTCAAAACATGAGCGATGACATTCTTGCTGGTTTGGATTTAAAGCAGTGAGCAATCCAGTTAGCCAAGAACAGAAATTAGGAAACGTTTTCCAAAATAATAATGCTGTAGTGACCTTCTTCCTTGTCTGCATTCACATGCTTGCATTAGTAGAAAGACAACTAGGAGGGTAAATTGAATTCACTTTGGCTACGACTGGCAGTACATGTTGGCACTATATAGGAATCCTTTCAAATGCATTATTAAGTAAATTAATCACAAACTCTTCAAGGGTATGAGACCCAGCTTCTCCTCCTGTCTCCTCCAAGTAACAGAAGAGAATGAAAGCAAAGCCATGGCAAAATGTTAATCAACATTTCGTAGTCATTGCTGTGCAGAGCAGTAGATGCTGTGAAGGTCGGTCAGCAGCATTGAACACAACTGCAACTACAGCTCTTTATCCAGCTGGGCAGGATTCCCACCTCTCCTGTCCCTGCAGAGTTGGCCTGGCAGCTACACAAAGTATTCACACCATGCACTGAATAAATATTCCAGCCCTAATTCTTGCACATCATACATAAAAAGTGAAATAAATTTACTGTATTAATAGAGGCCACAGACACACGTTTTATAAATCATGGAAGTATTGTGACATAGAGGAGATGAAAGCTAGTATGATCTATGACTACAGGAAAAAACACTGCAGATACAAAAGAAACAAGGCTTGGGTGAGCTTCACAGCTAAGAGTGGTAGCTAATATTCATTACCTTTTGAGAAGTTCACTACGTCTATGACTGTAAGAAACAGTTAAATCTAGGAAGACACTAAAAACTCAGAAAAGAAAGCTGTCAAATGACTTGTGACTCAGCTACAAACTGGAAGCTGCGCTTTGAAAAGCAGACAAACCCCATAGAATATCTATAATCAAGTTACCTTCAGTTCTGTATTCTTTTCATACCCACCTTAAGAAAATAGATGACAATCACAAATACTCATGCTTGACAACAGTCATCAAGCTTAAAGCAACAGCCTTCTGAAGTACAGACACAGAGTAAAGCAACAAGGAAACCCTGCAGGACTAACAAAATAACCTTGTTGGCTGTTGGGTGTAATATACCAAGTACCAGAAGTACACGGTGATGAAGGAATACTCGGCTGTGAAACAGCTAATGAACAAATCAGGGCCCCAAGGAAGAAGTTTTCACCTACTTTGCTAGCTACTACTCAGCTTGCACCACCAGATCTTCAGTGCTGCTGTTCAATGAGAACATGCTCATGGTGCTGAGCAGGAAGACAAAATGGGGCTTTGGACATCCCTCATCAAGGACTAAGCAGGTGCTGGTGCACACACTTATAATGTACTTCCTCCTGCTACTCCTGTAGGAACAGTGCATTAAATATAGTATGTCTAATTTTGGCAACAGCACATACATTACAGTAAAGACCTGGAAATTATTATAAAGGCTGCACTTCTGAAAAATCTACTTAAATTACAGGATAAAATAGTAAAAGTTGCATGTGCTTGTACTTGGTTCTTATTTTTTATGTTTAGTACAAAAAGCAAGATCACACTTTCTGCTGGCTATTCCACCAAACACTTGAATAAGAAAGTGTTTTGAAATATAGCTCATTAAGAGAATGCAGTTAAAGACTGAATTATTTTCTATACATGAAATTAAGTAACTGAAGGCATTCATTCAAACAATTTACTTAAATATCATTAACTTGTTTAGTAGAAGTCAATATTCAGAACTAAAGCAGTCTTAATTTGTTTTATCTGAATTTACTTCTCAAGCAAATGGCTTCTTCAATCCTGAATATACATCTGTAATTTTTAATCTGATTTGAGTAATCCAGTTTAACAATTAACTAAGATATATTCTCTTAGGCATTCATGTCTCCTGAATAACTGAAAAAAAGGAACTTAAACTGATAAATGCATTTTAGCTGAAGAATCCCATGTTACTGTTATTAAAGAGATAAAAAATATTCTTCTAAAAACAGTTAGGTGAGAACGATGTACAGGGTAAGCATTTTCTACATTTATAAAAATGCAGTGATATTCATGGGTCTGAAGTCTTTGCTGTCAAGGTGCCCCGATTTTAACATGGCAATATTGTTATGTCAACTGAGAGGCAAACATTGAGATGATCATTACAGATACTGGTATTATACCTGCAATACCAGATCTGTAACATTATGAAGGACAATTTGAGGGGGAAGAAAAAGATATTAAGTGAGCCATACAGCACTAAGCAATAGACAGTGATGTAATTAGGGAGAGAATGTAGAGTCACTGCTGTTTCTAACTTTTACTGACAGACATCAGACTTCCCATGACAATGCATAAACTGCCTTACAGAATCAAATTACACAACAGACTGTAGACTTTCATTACCAGCAATGTGTCTTAGATAGATAAACTCTGGCTCTTTAGTCAGCAGTTAACTTTGAAGGAGGGGAAATGGAGAAAGAAAATATCATTATACCATTAAAGACATCACTCCAGTGTGGCCATATTTGCCTGTGCATTTAAACCTTTAACCCTGAATTAATTAGTTTCCCTCCACTGCAAGATCAATTATTTCAGAAAGATACCCACTATGGCACGGAACAGTGGAGTTTATTTATACCTGTAAGCAACACAGTACAGGCTGTGCAGCAAAGAAGATCTATCCACATGTTGTCACTCAGGAACTCTGATCACAATGTGTTAAGGTCGGTAGAGGACAAAACCATCTCAGTGCACCTGGCTCTGATCACCCATTTCAGCATATAAAGACTTCAAGACTTGTATCCAAACTGCAGAGACCATTGGAAAGACACCATTTAAAAAATGTATTTGTCTTTGCAGAATGCTGCACATAGTCAAAAGGAAAAAATCCAAGGCCTCTGAATTGCTAGTGTTAAGGAGATAACACTAAGTCAAGATTACAGATTTCAGTTTGATGGAAACTTAAAAGAACCAAAGCATAGAATTTTATTTTGTTCTACACAGTACCAGGTAATACACTTTCTGGTATGAAATACTTTGTTGAAAGTTGCAAATTAAATAATTTTTTCTCCCAACCCATTGTACATATGATCTGCTAAGTCATCAAAAGAGGAAAATAAGGCAGAGAGTTAAGTGACTTCCCTGTGGTTATTCAATTATCTTGAAAAGGAGGAGTATTTGAGGCATGTTACTTGGGGAGAAGAGACCTTATTGCAGCAGTTTCATAAGGCACAATTGCTCTTCACAGATGTGTCTTTTGTAATTCCTTCACTGGAAAAGCCATTTGTTAATAGCAACTAAAAGTACATCTTAATGAAGAGAATATGTGATTGATAAAATACTTAAAAAACCAACTAATATTCTGAAGACTTAAAAAATCCCTGAAATAACTTAGGGCAACTTCAGCAAGAGCCTGAAGTCATGTAAGACACAATATAAGTATAGCAAATGCAAAAGGAGAGTAAATTCCTCTTTTGCCCCACATGTTGACACCTGCAAGCCAGGAGTGGCTTCACACCATAGTGCTGAAACTCAAACCAAAGCAGTTACTCACAGTTCCACTGCTGAAATCCAATCATAACAAAAACTTACTCACTTTGTGCACCAGAAAAAATGGTCTCTGTGACAGTTTTTTTAGTTTTGTTTTTTCAAGGCAAACATTTGAAGTAAGTAAGAATTGAGTCTCAACTTTTGATGTTATTTCCAAATCAAGCTCTTACAAAGATGTGTCAGTGTTGCCTTGTCCTCTTCAGAAAAATCTCATGCATGTAGTCCCAAAATCTTCCCTGATGAGACTCATTGCGATGAATCATAGCAGTGAGAGCCTCACCCTGATCAAGGCTTTGCCAATAATCTTGCAGCCACATTTCTTTCCAACTGAAACAAAAAAAGAGACACCATCACAAACAATTAAAAAAACCAAATTAATCTGCAGCTGTAATAGCACTAAAACCATATTTTTCTTTCCCTTAAGATGAAAACAGGCCCAGAGATGGTCATAACAAAGTTTGTTGTTAGTATGCCACTGTGCTCCAAGTCATTTAAAGAAACTTGCTTTGACAATTTTCAGTAGCAAATATGAATTCACTATTAGGTTTACCACATTCTAGAAATATCAGCATATACTATCACTATCATGTTAACCATGGAGACTAAATTACTAATTGTAGAGAATAAAAATTTTATTAAAATAAAATCTATCACAGAGTCCTTATATTATTTTGAGAGTAGCTTTCTCTGGCCAGTATGCACATAACAACCTAAAAATCAGGGTTTTTTTTCAGGTGATCCATTTAAAAAAATTCACTCTAATTTTGTAAATTGGGAAAAATCAGTATCCCAGGATGAGCACTGTACAAATCACCAGAAACTACCAATTACATACATCTGGCACATTATTATTATTATTATTATTATTATTATTATTATTATTATTATTATGAGATACAGATTTATCTTTAATCCTGGATGATTATGGGATTCTATTGTAAGGGCCATCCTACACTTGGCAAAATTAACATTTTTTCTCATCAAAAATAAATTGTGACATCAACATAAAATAGAACTAGCAAAACCATCATGGTTTCACAATTCCTTTATCAAAGGCATGCTGGTTTCTCTTTTCCTATGCCACCACAGACAAAAACTTTTGGTAGCTGAAAAGAAAATGTCACTTAGTGTTCTTATAGTTACATTTTCAAATATCCTACTTTTGGAAGATGAGTCCTTATCAATGAAACAAGCCAAACATTTCTCTTACAAGATGGGAGTTCAAGAATAACTGAAGATTCTGGTTTCCCCTAAATAGATATTACACTCAGCAGCAGCACTTCAACTCACAATTTTCTGTACAAAGCAGCTAAAAACTCAATAGACTGCAGTGACTGACCACAACCTGACACATACAACTGCTTCTTCTACAGCTTTTCTCCTTAAGCTTACTTGGGTGTGAAACCCAGCAGTCCAAATACAAGTTTGCTGCAAGCATAAGGATTTAAAAACCACATCCCCACACATACGGCTAAAGGTGTAATAGTGCTCCAGCTACATATACCTACACAGAGGGAGATTCTGACTGCAGCAGCATTCTGACAATTCAGCATCTCTATCGACCGTAAAAACAAATTACATCTGGGAATACGGGTTACAGAGCATGCAAATGTGTAGTGTAACCTTACTGTAACTGGGTATATGCTCTAACATGAACTCCTTTGTTGTACTCCCGAGTTCAGAAGGCTCCAGAAACACAAGTCACAGTGTGTGTTTATAGTCAGACCTTTCATGTTGCATATAGTCTATCACCTGTATTCCCACCAGATCTATATCATTTTTCCACAAGAATGTTTTTCTAAAGTAACAAAACACTCTATAGACTGGCTCAGTAGGCATTCATCTAAATGGATCACGCTGTTAAATAACATTACTGTCAAACTCAGACAAAAATATGGTTATGCTTAGCTAATATTTTGATGGCAATTTTATGCAATTGTCACACCAGTTAGAATTATAAGTAGTCATGTTCCATTTTGCAAATAAAAATGGGTAAAGCTTAGATGCTTATCAGATAGAAACCACTGTATTTCACAGGAAATGCCCATGATCATGCTTTGGAAACTATGGACACATATCTTTATAAAGTAAATAGCAGTGAATGTAAAACTCCCCCTGAACAATTTTTCCAGACACATGCCTACAAATGGGGAGAGTAACCGTGAGACATGGAAACTTCCCTGGGGTGAAACTGTAGCTTGAATTATGGACCAGCTGTTCAGAATCCCTGCTGATGACCTCCATGAAGAATGATGGAAGCACCTGAGCCTGTATGTGGCACTGAAAGCAACTCTTGTGTGCCTTCACAGATACTTCTCTACTGCCACCTGATGCTCAAACAGAAAACCTCTGGAGTCTGACCTACGAACTCTACAGAGTAGGGTGCAGCACTGCACACTACAAATAAAAACAACATTTTGCTATCGAGATGGAGAAAAGGCATTGCCATAAAAAAGCTCCATTAAATCAATCAACCAACAGAAAACAAGGGACAAGAAGCTGCTCAGTCTATTCTCTGTCCTGCACAGTCCCTCTCCTAAATAAGTGGGATGGCATCCTTGAACACAGTCAGAGTTTTGTTGCACAAAACAGCATTAAGTATTGTATTCTGGGTGAGCCTTTGCCAATAGGCTGTGAAGTCTACAGGAGTCAAGCAGGCCTGCAGTGAGCATTGGCAACCCCATTCTTAACGCAGTCCTTTGTAAGGAGGTACAGAGCTGCTTTGCCTGAGGGCTGCCAAGTGCTTTACCATCACTGTACTGAAAAACATCCCTTCCTCAAGCAAAGAGGCTAAGATAGACAAAGGATAACCCCACTGCCTGAGGTAGCAGAGCATTTTAACAGAATATTGTGTCACGCTCCTCTTTAACTGCTAGCTCCACTGTCCAAGCTTCTTGTTCAGCCTCAGCGTTACACAGTATTAGCAGGACCCCCTACACCACCCACAAGACGTAATACAAAATGTAACTAGAGAAGTAACAAGAGCTCCTTTAAGTACAAATCATTATTAAAGTTACAGCTCCTGTTACTTGAAGCTCTTTTCCCTTCAAAAAGCATAATATTGGCACATTACCTGTCTCCACCAGAGAGGTCTTCAACACTTCCAAACCCAGGGGTTGGCATAGGACATCCCATGTGCTTGAACTGAGCTATATGAGGTCTGGGAGCTGGAATTTCTCCACGAGACTTTTTGTGTTCCTGCTCCTCTTTGATGCGGGTGTTCTCCTTGTCACAGATGAAACACTCAAAGCCATTTAGGTAATTGGGCAGAGTCATGTCATTCACACCCCACTCCCGCCTCTCCAAACTCTCTAGCAAGAACTGGTTTTTGATTCCACCAGCATTTTTATACTCTAGATACTTCAAATATTCCTCTCCATTCTTGTCCAGGAAATCAAGATATTTTGCCAGCTCTTGGGGGCTGTCAAAATCATCTATAAGAATGATGGAGAGGTTGTTTGGCATCCAGTCCCGCACAGCTGGGGAGCCTCGGTACACTGGCACAGCACCCAGGTGCATGGGACGCCACAGCTTCTCTGTCATGTAGTCATCACATATGGCATTCTCCAAGGCCAGATGAAACTTGTACCTGGCAATAAAAGTCATAAATTCAGAATCTTCTGTAGTGGCTGTAGAAGTATCTCTCAGTCGCTCACTGGGGAGCTCACGGTTATGCAGGCATTTACCATAGGAGTCAACCTAAAATAACAAACAGCATCTTTACAAAGTGATTTCTTCCCCTGGAACTTGTTTTCAGATCTTGTAGCTCTTATAAAATTCCTAACTTGGATCAGTTCATAGCTACGTTAATTTAGCTTCATTTTCACTCCAAGGTCTTTCCCTTGAGACTATTCCTAGAGTCCAAGTTCTCCATGCTTTAGAGAAAACCAAGTGCTGAGTTTCAAAAGCAACATTAGCCACACTACAGACTGAGGGTCAAGGGGAACGCACAGATGGCACCCAAAAATGTATTTATTATCAGATAAATAAGAAATTGACAAGGAACAGCATTCGACTCTATGTCAATTTAAACGTTCTCTTTCCATTTAAGAGACACAGTGCTTCTCCAAACAGTTATTACACAGAGTTCCAGTCAGTCTCAGCAAGCTGACAGAATTTTTCTATTTCTTAGACTGAGAAAAATTGATTTAGGGAGCTAAAAGAATACTGTCTAAAAATACCAGACAGCATACTTGAGCTGGAACCTGCACCATACTTTCAGAAGATCATAATTTTTTAAAAATTCTTTTGCCTTTGCATCACTACTCGGTACATGATGACCTTACACAATAACTGAATCATGACCAGTAGAAACAACAGAAACCACTAGAAAAACAAGTCTCTGGCAAAGTCTAAAAACAGATTTTTTTTTTAAATCCATCTGATATCCTTTACAATCTTTAAGAGAAAAAATGCAGTATGTTTTTTTCCTGCTTGGAAGAAGCATTATTTTACTTTATGAAGCTACTCACCATCAGCTGTACCATAGCAGTACAAGCCATCACAGAAACAACATGGTCCTACCACAACACAGGTAAGGAGCAGATTCTCACAACATAGCAACCTGCCTTTTAACTTCACTCCTGTACTTTCAAACGGGAGCGAGGCTTGTGAAGGGACAGCCTTCCTGTATGCAAACTTCAAAGTCCAGAGATTTCAACAACTTCTAGCACTTGATCCACGAGACTGAACTTATTCAGGCATTGCCCAGCTTGTGACTGATCCCGAGTGCGGCCAACTCCCCATCTAACATCTGCATCGGGTCTACCTACTGACATGCGGTGTAGTCTAGATCACGCTTTGGGAAGGAATACAACTAGTTTTTCTGTCCAGCTTGTAGTCAGCATGCATCCCGTTATGATTCGTGTCATGGCTAAAAACAAGGACAAACAAACCCCATTAAAACGAGGCGGTAGAGGGGGGCAGCCAGGTGTTCCCAGCTCCGACAGCTTCCCCGCGCACTCAGCCCGCCTACCTGGATGTACTTCATGAGCTCCCGCACGTAGCGGTCCCTGTCGGAGGGCACATCGCAGTGGGACTGCATGTACAGCAGCGGCCCGTAGCCCTTCCGCCGCCACGCCTCCTTCTCGGCCAGCGGCACGGCCGGGGCCCGCAGGTACGCGGCGCCGGGCAGCCACTGCAGCGTGAGCGGGTAGTCGGACTCCCGGCGGAAGGTGGCCGTGTAGTTGAAGAGCCGGATGCCGGGCGAGTGCGAGAGCACGTAGTTGTTCATGGGGGACTCCTCGTGGAAGAGCGCCCAGGTCTGGTGGGGCAGGCGGGGCAGCGGCGCCTCGTACGCCCTGAAGTCGGTGCCGTAGAAGATGAGCGCCTTGGTGCGGCGGTGCCGGGCCACCCGCCGGCTCCGGGTGACGAGGCAGGAGCCGCGGGGGCAGTCGATGCGCTCCGTGTCGCCGGGGAAGTGCGGGAAGAGGCTCCCGCTCCACCAGAGCAGGATGGGCAGCGCCTTGTTGCTCCGCGTGTCGTTGTTGCCGGGCCCGCGGTACGACGCGGCGGCGACGAAGGCCGCGCCCGGCGGGACGGCGTCCTGCGCCCAGCCCTGCGCCCCGCAGGGCTCGGACGGCTCCTCGGCGGCCGCAGCCGCTCCCGCGCTGCAGGCCAGCGCCAGCGTCACCCACAGGCCCGCGGGCCCCCGCCCCGGCCCGGCAGCCCCCATGCCCGGCCCGCCGCCCCAGGAAGGGGCGCTGGCCCGCCCCGGCGGTGCCGTCAGGGGGCCGGGCCGGGCCGGCACCGCCCCTCGCAGCTCGGCCGTCCCTGCGCGGCGGCGCGGCGGGCAGCGAGTCGCGGCCGCGCTGCGGCGGCAGCGGGAGCCTTGGGCGGCCGCTCGACGAGGCGCGCTACTCGCAGCTCCCTCCCAGCCCCACTGTACAATGGCTGAAGCTGCTGTAAATCTCCCTGCCTCTACCCGCTCCGGCATCCGTCCGTGCTCACACCGGCCCCGCAGTACCTGCCGCTGACAGATACAGCCCAGCTGCTCCCCGAAGGCGCAGCGTGCCGCGACTCAAGGCACTACAGACAGGCTCCGGGACCAAGCAAGCGGTCAGCTGTTCCAAGAGCGAGCCCCCAGCTCCGCTCCTGTTCGAGACCATAAAGGGAAGGAACAGAAAACACCTTTTACTATCAGAAATCTTCTGTTTGGGTGTTTGGGTTTTGGGTTTCTTTTTAATATCTACAGGTACTTTTAAAGCACCCTTAAAGCTGCTTTTCTATACCAACCTTGAATAATTCACAGAATCACAGAATGAGGTTGGAAGAGACCTCTAAGATCATCAAGTCCAACCTATGCCCTAACACCACAACTAGACTATAGCACCAAGTGCCAAGTCCAGTCTTTATTTACTCATATGCAGAGATGGAGATTCCACCACCTCCCTAGGAAGACAATTCCAGTATTTTATTATTCTTTCAGTGAAATTTTTTTCCTAATATCCAACCTAAACCTTCCCTGACATAGCTTGAGACTGTGTCCTCTTGTTCTGCCAGTTGCTGCCTGGTGGAAGAGACTGACCCCCACCTGTCTACAACCTCCCTTCAGGAAGCTGTAGAGAGCAATAAGAGCAATATGTATATTCCTACAGTATTAAAATATTCTGTAAATGGGAAGGTGGTTTGGGCTACACTATGTAAATCCAACAGACATATTCTAGAATTACCAGTCAGCTGGTCAGTTATACAATTGCTAAAAGCTTCACATTAACTTCTCAAGAGACAATACAATATTTATGAATTATCAGTTAGAATACAGGACATTAGTTAGTATGGACACAAGGCAAAGAAGTATTCTTCAGCTGTGTTAGAAACAAGCTAAAGAGGGAATAGTTTTCCTTTCCTTTGCAAAGTCAGGTGTAGACACTGCTCAGGCCTGCTCCAATAGCACCACGGTATCCTCCACTTGGGCCCAGAGAGAAGGTAACAGACATGGGCTCTCCAAGACAATTTCCACAAGCATCAGAATGTGCTGCACAATTTACTCCACAAGATTAATGTACAAGATCCACAAGGCCCATCATTATCACATCAGTTCTGTGGTAGATTCTGGACATAATATACATTCTATAGGAGACAAATCTCAAAAATATTCAACAGCAAATTTAGTATTATTGGATATTTAGCAATGATTGTCTTGTGCTTTCATACAATTTGTTATAAGGCTATCAGCAAACTGTACAACAGCAATATTCATGGGTACAGTCAAGATAACACTGCCAGTTCACTCTGAAGTTTATTTTTGCAATTAGCAACACTCCCAGCAAAAAAAAAAAAAAAACCACAACCCAACCCCCCAAAACAAAACAAACCCCAAAAAGCCAAAAACAAAAACACCCACAAAAAACCCAACCAAAACACCCCCCAACCAATTCACTCAGGTACCCTTAATTCTAAAATATGAGCTCTTTTGAGACTGCTGAAGTCATAACTTGACATTGTCATAAAGTAAGGGCAATATTTGCATAAGTAGACCAAAAAACCCCCACCCAGTCAATAACTCAAGCTGTGTCAGCAAAAAAGGGAATTTCTTTATGAAATGGAAGTTCAGACAGAGCAAAAAGTCAATACCAAATCACCTAAATAAGGGAACACTGAGAATAAACAGTACCTTTTGTCTGTTGACTCTTGTTGAATTCCTTATCATTCAGTGCGAATAACAACAATGACAAAAAAAGACTGAACTTGGTTAGTAGAAGATTAGACTGTAAAGGATCAATGAATTATACTTCAGCCCTTCCCATTTCCCCCCCTCCCGCAAAATACAGGGTTTGGAAAAATAAGCAGTGTTTATTTACTAACAATGACATAAAATACATCTTAATATATCTTTATTTCTTTACAAATTAAAAGATGCATTGGAAAAACAAGTGAAGAAAATGAAAGGTTCATTCATGATTTCATTTCCACCCCCACACCCCCCAGTATTAATACTAGAAATTAGTATTTGTGGAAGTCTGTGGTTGCTGTGCATTATATTCCCGAGAAGTTCTTTTTTCCCCCCTCTGATTAAAAATCCTCTAGATTTTTTGGTTGGAGGCAGTATGTGGAGTAAAAAGTCAGCCACATTCATACAAAACCGCTGAAAGTTCTGTCAACTACATCTTGAAAGAGTTTCTACATTACAATTTTCATGTTCCCCTTTCTGTGTAGTGATGGGAGGGAAGACAAACTAGCAGCATTAGAAGAAAAATGAATTTATATACATGCTACAGGATATGGAACTAAAACCACAGCCAGATATTTTTCTGATCTTAACAAGGACTTTCCTATGAAATATCAAGCCCAGATAACATGTTCTCTAATCCATCCACATTCTTCCTTTCACTTTTAGTGCTATTGGTAGCTTAAACTCCTGGGTACTGGAAGAACACCTGTTAAGTGTTCAAATTAAAATATACAAACCCTCTTTCAAAAGTGAATAAACAAAGCCCTTAGAATTCTAAATTTGATTACACTAGCTCCCTCTTCACAGGAGTCTTCTCATCCACCCTTGCAAAATGGAGCAGCAGAGCAGCCAAAGTGGATGGATTAATCTGTCTGAGGTATTTTAGTTTAACAAACAGGCTTATAAAAGGTTTTGTGCAAGCTGATCAGTAGACAGAATGTGGAGGGTATAAACATCCAGTAATGAGACTCTTTGCTATGGCCCAGGTGCTGTCAATAGCCAAAATCAGGTACATGTAATACCTATTACAGTACAGTCTAAATCTTAAGGTTTTGTATCCCCTTCCGTTGTGTGCCAGGGTACAAAGCAATCTTAAATTCATGTCAGTATAAATCAAACTCCTGCTTGTTGGCTATGATTCACAAAAATATGGTTGATAATGGCCACTTCCTTATCATTCAGTTCCTACACAGTCCCTCATCACCTTGTTAAAAGTATTTTCTGCCTAAGGTTAAGAAGCTTTTGTTCCCACCACCATCTGACAGACAGGTAAACTCTGCAGGAGAGGTCATGGAACATGGATTGAGTAGGACAATACAGAGCTGTGCAATGAGAAGAAAAGCAGTCACCACACATGTCAACAGGAAGTACCGTCTCTACCCCTACACTGTCCAGAAGCTGTTGATTTTTGCCCACTTAATTATTAATTACTCCATTACAGTTCTGCACAGCAACTTATAGTACAGGGAAGATTGTGGAGATAAGTTTGCCCTGCTGCCTCCTGGCTTACCACTCATTTCATGTTTCATGGCTTTCTGGCTTGGACAGCCACATCTGTGCTCTAACAGATCATGTTTCCCTCTTTAAAGGAGATACAAAATGTTTGGCTGCTCCAGCTCCCATCACCTGATCTACCTCTTGCCCTTCCCACCTGTGCATCCTCTTCACACTTGGAGCATGCACACACACCCACACAAATGCACAGCAGCTACCAGAAGTTTTGAAGAGTTATCGCTTTTTCACCCAATGTTGAATCATGTACAGTGAACTGAAAAAAACTCTACATTCATTACAACAGGATTAGCGAGCATGGGGTGGGGTGGGGGGTGAACTCCTGCCAAGCACAGGAAACAATTTAAATGCAAATAAAAGACCTGGTATCAAAGGCCTTTTTTTTTTTTTTCAGCCCTCACCAGGAAAATATTTCATCTCTCATATGGGATTGGGAAAGGTTGAAAGGATTTCTGCTAATGCAATGTGTATTAAAAATTATGGAATTGTACAGATTTCTATGTTGTCCTTTTTGAGGGCGCTGGGCCTTCTGATCAGGTCATTAGTGGAGACTGAAATGTCACTGCTGAGTTCTAGCACCACTCACTCCTCTAGCTCAGTAGCTGCCGAATCTCCTTGTGCATGTGACACAGGAAGTCCACATAGGAAGCCCCCCCACTCAGGCTCTTGTCCTCCACTAGAAAGTGTTTGAACAGCATTTCCAGCTTATCTTCTTGCTTCACAATTATCAACTACAAGAAACCAAACACAACAAGAACAAAACCAACAGTAAGTAGCTATTAAAATTAATCTTCATGGGGAAAATAGAGCAAAAAGCTAAATGCTCAAAACTGCAAAGACAGCCAACCAGAATCACAGCATACAGTCTTATGTGCTTTGACTTCTGTAACTTAGCTGGGTTAAGCCTCAATCCTAAACAGAAGGAAAGTACCATATATGTAGTTCATATAATAGTGTATTGTAACATGTCTGAAAAAAGGAAGTTTTAGAACTATGGTAAGCACGAAACTACAAAATTAGTGAAATTTGTTTTCAGATTCTTGAAAACTTTGAATAACATTTATGACATTGGGAAGAATAAGTTCAGGACTGCAGCATCACCAGGCATCAACTGACTCTACTAAGAGGAAAGGGGATTTAAAGCTCTAAATGGGGGACATTTTTACCTTCATGTAGCGGGATCTCTGCCCTTGAAGCATATCAACAATAGCTCGCACTTTCTTTGAAAAGGGGTTTTCCAAGACTGGCAGGGTACTCTGGAATGAAAGACAGCCAATCCCCATTAGTCTTGGGAAGTAGAGCAATGTTAAACAAAAGTCAGCAGCTTTGGCATAGTCTAATAGGGTAGAGAAATATCTACCCCCATTAGCATACAATCTCTTTAAAGAGAATGTAACATGAAATCAGAATTAGAGGTCAATTATTTATTCCATTTAGATATCAATTGTTCTCTTCAATGTTAATGATACGACTTGTCAAATACATCTAGG